CTTTTTGGCATATTTGAGTTCCTTGTAGATCCTAGATGTTAGGCCTTTGTCAGACATACAGTTGGCAAATATTTTTTCCTAGTCTGTGGGCTGTCTCCCCACTCTCTTGATGGTTTCTTTGGCTTTGCAGAAGCTTGTCAGTTTGATGAAGTCCCGCTTGTCTATCTTATCTTTTATTGCCTGGGCACTTGGAATTTTGATCAGGAATTGGTTGCCAGTTCCAATTTCCATGAGGGATTCTCCTACGTTTTCTAAGGTTCTTATAATTTGAGGTTTTACATTTAGGTCTTTGATCCACTTAGAGTTGATTTATGTGTATGGTGATAGGTAGGGATCTTGTTTGAATCTTCTGCATGTGGTCAGTCGGTTTTCCCAGCACCATTTACTGAATAGGTTCTCCTCTCCCCAGTCATTGGTGGTGGAAGATTCGTCGAAGATGAGTTGGTTAAGAAATTGAGGTTTTGCTTCTGGAATCTCTATCCTGTTCCATTGGTCTATATGCTTGTTCTGAGTATCAATATTAGGCTGTTTTGATTATTGTAGCTTTATAAAAAGTTTAAAGTCTGGGAGTGTGATACCTCTCACTTATATATTTTTTTTCTGAGGATTGTTTTGGTGATTCACAGTCATTTATGTTTCCATATGAACTTCTGTATTGTCATTTCCAGATCTGAGAAGAATGCTGTTGGTAATTTAATGGGTATTACATTAAATTTGTAGATTGCCTTGGGTAGGATTGACATCTTAACAGTGTTGATCTTTGTTTATGACATCTTTGATTTCTTTGAGCAATATTTTGTAGTTTTCATTGTAAAGGTCTTTCATGTCTCTGGTTAATAAGATGCCAAGGTATTTCATTTTTTGTGGCTATTGTGAATGGGATTGTGCTTTTTATTTGGGTTTCTGTTTGTTTATTGTTGGTGTATAGGAATGAGACTATCTTTTGCACATTTATTTTATACCCTGAGACTCTGCCGAAGTCCTTTATCAAAAGTGTAAAGACAGAGTCTCTTGGCTTTTCAAGGTATAGAATCATGTTGTCTGCAAAGAAGGATGACTTAATTTCCTCTTTTCCTATTTGGGTATCCCTGGTCTCCTTCTCTTGTCTGATTGCTCTAGCTAGGACTTCTAATGCTATGTTGAACAGGAGGGGTGAGAGTGGACATTGTTGTCTTGTTCTGGTTTTCAGGAGAAATTGTTCCAATTTCTGTCTGTTTAGCAGTATGTTGGCTGTGGGGTTCTCGTAGATGACTTAGTCAATTTTCTATGCATTGGTCACAAGGACTTAATTAAGGGAGGACATGGCACTAAATCTAGTGTAAATCAATCCACCTGATTAAGGCAGGGCATGAGACTAAATCTAGGCCAATGAAAACTCGAGTCAGACGTTTTTTGAAGTCTTGAGACATAGAAGCTCTCCTTAACCATTGGTGTGGCTCACAGGAGCTGGTATAGGCACACAGGTGCAGGCAATCATCTGCTAAGATGAGAGAAAAGTTTCACTGCTAATGGAGCCCGCAGACATGAAGGAAGCCAAGATGTAGAGAGACTATGGCCTGATCTTCTGCCCACTGTCCTTGCCATGATGAAAGCCAGCTTTTTCTTTGGAATTTTCAATTGTGTGAATCAAGTAAATTCCATTATTTGCATTAGCTATTTTGAGTTGGAGTTTCTATCATTCTCAAACAAAGGAGTCCTGAGCAACATGTCTCCCTACCCCAAGTACCAGGTACAAAATCACATATAGAACTAAATAATTCAATTTCCAAATATATCACACCTGCAAATCTTCATGCCTTTGTTAGTTTCCCCAGAATTAATCTCCCCATTGTCCCCATGTTCCCATAACACCCTACAGATACTTCAAATTAAGGTAATTAATATTTTGTATGAATGCAGTTTGGATATCTTTAGAAGATATAAGCTGTTTAAAAGCAGGAATTCCATCTTTATCATCTTTCTATCTCTAGTACCTAGCACTGCATTTGGCATATACATTGTCCAATAAATGGTGACCAATTTAAATTTCCAGAGTGGGAGAGAAGTATAACAATGATCTTCCATTTCTGGGAATTTCTAACCAAGTATCATAGTTGTTTTCCCGACCTACATAATGAAGGAACCTCAGCCCTGGTCCCTTGACTTGCCCTCAGATTCATTCCTGGACTTTTCTACTATTCTGTTCTGTTCTGTATAACAAAGGGGACGACCTCTCATGTTTTCATGTTGTCTGGCTAGTAGGTTCCACAAATGGGTACTAGTGGAAATTTGGAGGATGGACCAAAGGGAAAACCCAGAGTACTGTGTCTTTCCAAAAATAACCAGATCCTGCTAGCCAGGCCTACTTAAGTTTCAACTCCAGCTGTTGCCTCCTGCTCTTGCTAATCTCTTGATTGCCTCACTGTCATCTGTCTGGTTTCTCAGCATCTTTCTTCACTTGTATAATTAATTCCAAGCATTTACACCCTCTTCTTGAGATACTGAGTGGTTTCTGTCTTCTTCTTGAAACTTGACTGATACTGCGCCATATATATATTTTTAATGCCATTAGCATTTAATTATGTGTTTGTGTCTGGGGCTTCAGAGATGCTTCTTATACCTCAAATTTCTTCCAGTGTCAATCAACCATAGATGCCTAGAATGACCTCCATAAGGGTAGCTATTTCCAGAAGTCCTTGTTAAAATACAAAACCTTTGTGTAACTTTTTTTTCTAAGTCATACCTTCCATAATAAACTTAGGGTTGAGTTATGGTTCATCTGACCTCATTGAGACACAAATCCACAGTTTCTGTGACTCTCACTCACTCAGCACAGCTAAGATAAACTGACCACTCTTTGGGCACCCAGAGGAGCTTGTGTTGAAAGCAAACTCATTCAAAACAAGGAAGTTTAATGTACCCACTTTCTTGCCCTGGGTAACTTATTCTGGCAGAAGTGGTGAAGCAGTATACATTATGAAAAATAAAAGAGATCCATACTGTATTTACAACTCTTTAATTTGTTTTAAAGGCGGCAATATAACAGTTTGAACAATACTCAGACCTTTTGCCTCTAAGAGATACATAAATGAATAGATGATATTCAAGGAAATCAGTGCTGTGTAGACCTTTTTTAGTCTAGTAAAGTAAAATGTGTAGTTTAAAACCTATGCAATACTGCAGCAGAAATCATAAGTTACAAAGTGGTAACTCTCACATACAATAAATTGAATCCTCATTCTATATACCCCTCCAGTTATAGCCACATACATTCTCTAAGGAAAAAGATTTTTTTTCCTAATGAGGAAACTTCCCAACCTGTCTTTCCAAAACAAACACCTTTCCATTCAACAATCATGGTATTTTTATTTTTTGTAGAGACAAGGTCTTGCTATTTTGCGCAGGTTGGTTTTGAACTCCTGGGTTCAAGTAATCCTCTCACCCTGGTCTCTCAAATTGCTGGGTTTATAGGCGTGAGCCACCACATGGAATTTTTAAAACCATGAGAACTTCTGGTTACACAGGTAAGATTGAACAAGCATTCCTTTAAAAATAAACTATTATCAAGAGATGACGTATTTTAATTACTATATCAACTTATAGTGCATTTGATCTCAAACAGAGAGATAATTATCAAAGATAGCAAACAAAATTGTAAAAATATTCACTTTATCAAATAATTATTATATATCAATCTTCTAAAAGACCTCAAGCTAGACACAGTGAGGAAAAAACGACAATGTCCAAGGTTATTAGCTTTACCCTTCCTCAGCTCATCGTATGCAACTGTACATGTCACCATTATGCAATTTACAGATACTCAGTTATTTTATCAAGAAGAATGCTACAGAATAATTTCAATTATAAAAATCTACATCCAGAGGAAACAAGATGAAAACAAGTAACCAAAATTTTAAAACCTCAGGAAAACTTGTGTCATAAGATGACAAAAGTGCAATATGTGTCAAACCTTAAATGTGGTTATTAAGCTAATTGATAGTGTCATTCCATTTGTACCAGAAAGGACAAAAGGAAAACCACCCCCATCTTCCTTCACCAAAAACAAACAAATATAAACAAGAGATAATATATTAAAATTAATGTCAAGCACCACCTTCCAAAATCACTAAAGAAACTGGGGCATTATGTACAAAAGAGGAAATGGTTTCCCCATGGAAATGGATTGAAGGGTTTATGGACCAATTGTATATTTACATGAGACCAAGTAATTTTTTCTACCAATTGATAGAACAACGACCCACACATGACTGCCTCCTTCTCTGCTGTCAAAACAGCACAAAAATGGGCAACGTATTCATTGTGCCAAAGGGCAGCTCTGCCTGCACTGGTACTATGTGATCTGTTAGTTTCAAATCATGTTAATGCCGTAAGCTAGCAAGTATTGCATTGTGTCAATTATTAACCAGTTTATTACTAACATTACAGAGTGAATGTGATATATGAGATAATCCATTAGAGCGTAAATAACCATTTATATTATTAGGAATTCCTCACAAAAATCATATAGGTATTTTTGATCCGTGGAGTATTCACCTTAAGTAACTATATCCCACTTCCCATACTTCTCATATATTTCCTTTTATTAAAAGTATCATGCAACGAGAATCAGCAACATCATCACTGCAAAAATTTACTTTACAAGTAAATATCACCTACTTTTTGTGAATTGGAATATAGCAAAACATCAAGCAGAGCCACTTGTTTTGAAGAAGGTATCACAATCCTATCATTTGGAAAATGAATTTTAATTTTTTTATCTAACATCATTGAGAGCTGTGATTAATTCAGTCTCCATGGCAAGGTAAAAATTTTAACATCTTCTGAGGTTTGTAATGTTGACCATGTTTTCACATAGGCTGAAGTAGACATATTTCATGGGTTTAATATATGTCAAACAACGTTTTCTGCTTGAATATACATGAATGCAAATTTGAGACAGAAGAGTTAGGCTAGCTTAATTAAAGAGATCCAGTTTTCTTTGTGGTGTTGAATCTGATATGATAGCAAAATGGTACTTGAAAATTAGTAATTCTAGGAGGAAATTGTTAGCAGGGACTTTTGTGCTTTGTTTTTTTTAATTTTGTTGTCTCTCTACGTTTGGGGAAGTTCACTGGCAACAACTTCTAATGGAAAGAGGCTCTCACTTTGCGGCCCTTAAGAGGTTGAGGTGGACGGTGATTGCTCAGCAGAAAAGCTGCTGCTTCCCCCTCCGCTGTGCACAGGAGACTGCGGAATTTGGCCAGCTGTTGAAGAGAAGAGAAGAATTAGCTCCAACACAGAAAGATACACCAATGTTAATGAGTTACCCTGCATAGAAAAAGTAAGAAACATATGTTTGTAACCAGGAACTAAAAATATCACAATGAAAATGTTGTTATGGGTCACCTATAACAAGCAACTCTTTTGCTAAATTCTCATCACTACAGAAATACCTACAGGTTCAAAAATTAAGTATAGAAGCAATTATTTATTTGAAGATCAAAGTAAAAAGAAGAAATATCTAGACCATGGTTTAAAGAGTACATATCTAGACATCAGAGAATGTTTTTCAGTCAATAAACACACACACTTGATAAGTTTTATTACAAAAATGGGCTCAACTATACATGCTATGGTGAAACCTACTTTTTTTTTTTTTTTTTT